CATGACCGCGGCGGATCTTAGGATCGATGGCGGACATAGTGCCTGGTGAACTCGGGGAGGGGTGAGGGGGGTGAGAATGCGGGGGTTGAGGACTTGGTGGATGAGATTCCAACGAAAAGACTAGAGATAGCGAGGTTGAGAAGCAAGGAGAGGGAATGTGGCTTTGGTGCACGGGCTGGGTGGATTAATGTTCGAAATGCTTTGGATATAACTACATTGGATGAGGGATCATCAGGATATGCTCATCTGGCTGCTCATCAGGTCATCATCCTTATTTCCCCAGCCAAGGGAACGGTAGATGATCAAACATGCACCAATGCACCGTTCGAATCTCTTTCGCATTCATTCCCTCTTCACAATCTCGTCCCCATATTAACATGCACCGCCTTCGTCTGACAGTAGGCCTCCAGCCCGGCCTCGCCTAGCTCGCGGCCCACCCCACTCTGCTTGACGCCGCCAAAGGGCACGCGGATATCCGAGTCATTGCTGCTGTTGACCCACACCATGCCGGCCTCGATGCGCGCGGCGACGCGATGCGCGCGCTCCACATCGCGCGTGAAGACCGCACTGCCCAGGCCGTAGGTGGTGTCGTTGGCCATGCGGAGCGCCTCGTCCTCGGTTTCGAACTTGGCCACCACCACGAACGGCCCAAAGACCTCTTCGCGGTAGATCTTCATCTCCGGTCGCACGTCGGTGAAGACGGTCGGCTCGATGAAGAAGCCCTTTCCGGAGCCGACGTCTTTCTGTGGGTGGCCGCCCGTGGTGAGGGTGGCGCCCTCGGATCGCCCGGACTCGATGTACGACAGCACGCGCTCGTACTGGGCGCGGGTGACTTGCGGGCCTTGGAAGGTGCTCTCCGAGAAGGGGTCGCCCACTTTGCTGGTGCTGGAGATGGCGGCGTGGAATTTGGAGATGAAGGCCTGGTAGATGGGAGCCTGGACGAGGAGGCGGCTGGTCGCGGTGCAGATCTGGCCTTGGTTCGACATTATGCTGGTTTTTAATAAGATATCTAGTGGTTAGCTTTGGACCCTTCATTGCAGGGTTTTGGAAGGCATGGGGGAAGTTAGAAGCTCACCCAATATGCGCCCACTTCGCCGCCTGCTCCAGATCCGCATCCTCAAACACTATCAGCGGACTCTTCCCGCCTGTCTCCAGCGTGATGTTCTTCATGTTCACCGCCGCCATCTTCATGATCTGTTTCCCCGTCGCCGTCGACCCGGTAAATGCAATCTTGTCCACATCCATATGACTTGCAATCGCCGCCCCGGCCTCCTTCCCATACCCATTCAGCACATTGACCACACCAGCCGGGAAACCCGCCTCCTTGATCAAACTCGCCAGATACAGAATCGAGAGCGGCGTCTGCTCCGCTGCCTTGATGACCACCGTATTCCCACACGCCAGCGCGGGTCCCAGTTTCCACGCCGCCATCGCCAACGGGTAGTTCCAGGGGATGATCTGCCCACACACGCCGATGGGCTGACGGAGCGTATACGCGAGTTTCTGCGGCGTGGTCGAGATGGTCTGGCCATGGATCTTGTCGGCCCAGCCGGCGTAGTACCGGAAACATAACACCACCTCCGCCAGATCGTCGTTCAAAGCCACCGAATACGGTTTCCCGTTATCCCAGGTCTCGATGCTGGCGAGGGTTTCGGCGTGGCTCTCGATCAGACCGGCGAGCTTGTACATCAAT